AGTCTAATTATGAGCGACAGATTAGAGGCCCCAGTGGAAAGTGGGATGGTCTGGGTCAGGGCAAAAACTCCAGCCGGTTGCACTGAATATTAATAGAAAAAGTAGAGAATGGGGAAGCATTTTATTAGAGACTAATGGTGATTGCGAGTAACCCTCTTCTTCCAATATCTGGGTTGCTTATACCTCTCTCATCTCTGTGGCCTCCTTAAACAACTCTCAGATAAGATGACCCAATAGAGGGCCACCTTCTCAGATTTCAATATAAGATACCAGATATTAACCCATTGTTAATCAAGGAGAGAAATTAGGGATGACTAGGAGTTGGGCACAGTTTGATTCTGTTGGTTTAACGTTTTTGATTTGCTTTTCAAAACATTCACAAAATGATAGCAGCCATATGTAGTATGTTTGCTTGCTTGCTTATTCAAGTTCACTCCACACTCAAAGTGGTTTGTAAAATGTTTTTTAAAGTTAAAAATTAAGAGCCGTATACCACTTTCTTTTTGCTCATGATTCCAAACAACATCAACAAAAATATTTCATTTTAATGTTTGAAAATGAAAAAAGTTAACTGACAGTTTTGCCTTTGGACATATGCAGGTGTTTTATACACTTTCTTAGAAAACAGAGGCTGTCAATCTAGTTGGGAAAACAGTCTAATGATTTTAATGGAATTTTCTTAATAAACAGTGTATAAGATTTAGTGATATCTAGTGGCGAGGTTGCACACTACAAGCAGTAAAAAAATTCAGCTCACCCCCTCGCTTTCCGAGTGTGTCTTAGAATGTGGCCTTGAAATGATAGGTATCCTTAAGATTGTATTACCACTAGGAGCTACACGCATCCTTACCCTGTTCTTTATGACAAAATAATGACTTTTAAAATGTATATAGAATTGAAAAAATACATGAATTCAGGATTACATTACATTGTCACGGCTAGCTGGACTAGTCGTCCCCTGTAATGTGAGGGCCCAAATGCAGATACTGTAGGCAGAGGTGGGAGTGAGAACAATGTTTATTGGGTAGAAATGTTGAAGATCTT